GGTGCTTTCTCGGTGGCTCGAGGCCGCCGGATGAGTGGATTAACAGAGTGGCGCCACCGAGCGTGTATTTTGTGATCATGGGAGGCAGAGGTTGCAGTGAGCTGAGATCGCGCCACTAACATTCTAGTCTGGGGGACAGAGTGAGACTCTCTCCCAAAATGAAACAAAAAAAGATTTTCTGTGAGAATGACTTCATCGGCCCCTCGGGTGGGAACGCTTCTCCAGGGCAAGGTGAGGGGAAGCCCGGTGATGGGAGTGCTGCCTGGAGAGGACACAGTTCCAGTGGCGCGGGCCCTGGGCTTTGGCTGAGGACTGTGCGTTGGCAGCTGCTGTGCCTCTCACAGCCCTTCCCAGCTGCGCATGTCGTGAGCATCAACGTGGAGTGACAGGCCTGACTCCTTTGGGCTACTTTGTGACCATGTTTCCTGCCTATGGAACAGGGTAATTTCAGGATCTAAATTGGTGTACTTGCATGTTCTCAGCCCCAGGAGGCAGCTCTTCCCGTTCTAGGTTGGTTTTTTTTTTTTGGTAGAAAGGGGGTCTTGCTGTGTTGCCCAGGCTGGTCTCGAACCCCTGGCCTCAAGCCATCCTCCTGCCTCAGCGTCACAGAGTGCTGGGATTACATCCCCTTCTTACCTTCTCTGTCAGAGAAGCCCCCACAGTGTGTGAGTGCTGAGTCATGCTGTCTTGTGGGTGCTAAATGGGTTCTGCCACTCTGGTCCTAGGCTCCATATGTGGACGTGATCTGTTTGAACAGCTACTACTCTTGGTATCACGACTATGGGCACCTGGAGTTGATTCAGCAGCAGCTTACCACCCAGTTTGAGAGCTGGTATAAGACGTATCAGAAGCCCATTATTCAGAGCGAGTATGGAGCAGAAACGATTGTTGGGTTTCACCAGGTAAGCGGTGCTGAGCTTTCTGTTTGTGTGTTCTCTCGAGGCAGAGATGTCACTCACCTCCCCCGGCCTGCCCTGCGCCCACTGCACTGCTCCCCTCACTTCAGCTTTGGGCTCACCTCCCGCTGCCTCATCCACGTTCGCCTCGGCCCCCTTTGCTTGGTCCTCAGAGGTGGCCTCCTTACCAGCTTTGTTTCCAGACAGCCTCCTATCACCTGTGCCCAAGTAGTCTTCTTAACAAATCCAAATTTGTATTTGTTTGCATTTGAGACCGGATCTTTCTTTGTCACTAAGGCTAGAGTGTGGTGGTGTGGTCACTGCTCACTGCAGCCTTAACCTCCTGGGCTCAAGTGATCCTCCCACCTCAGCCTCCTGAGTAGCTGGGACCATAGGCACATGCCAACATGCCTGGCTAATTTTTTTACTTTTGTAGAGATGGGGTCTTGCTGTGTTGCCCAGGCTGATCTTGAACTCCTGGGCTCAAGTGATCTCCTGCCTCAGCCTTCCAAAGGGCTGAGATTACAGGTGTGAGCCTCTGTGCCAGCCACAGGTGACAATTTTGGGAGTCCTGTCATCGGCTCCCCCAGGCCCACAGGACAAAGCCCTAAACCCTGGTCAGGACACTCAGTGTCCTCTGCTCTCTCCTGGGTTTTCATCCTCTTTTCCCCTCACTCCCGGCCACTGATCTGTTTCCACTGCCCTTGTTTGCTCTCTCGCTCTTGCTTGAGCTGTTTCTTCTACCTGGAATTCCCATGTTGGCAACATAATCACCAACTAAAAGATTCTTTTTAAAAATGTTTATTTTTTAGAGATAGGGTCTTGCTATGTTGTCTGGGCTGGTCTGAAACTCCTGGACTCAACTGATCTTCCCGCCTTGGCCTCCAAAAGTGCCGGGATTACAGGCGTGATCCACTGTGCTAGCCTTTTCTTTCTTTTTTTTTTTTTTTTTTGCAGGGTCTTGTTCTGTTGCCCAGGCTGGAGTGCAGTGGTGCCATCATAGCTCACTGCAGCCTTGAACTCCTGGGCTGAAGCGATTCCCCTGCCTCAGCCTCCTGAGTAGCTGGGACTACAGGCATCACCACCATGGGCAGCCTATTTTTAATTTTTTTTGTAAAGATGGGCTCTCACTATCAGGCTGGTCTGGAACTCCTGGCCTCATGTGATTCTCCTGCCTTGGACTCCCAAAGTACTGGGAATCCAGGCATGAGCCACCATGCCCGGCCTGTCCCCATTTTTTTTAATCCATCTGATTTTTTTGTCCTCCTCACTAAAGATATGTTGGTTTGTCCTGTGAGGTTATTTTTTTTCATGTGGATTCCTGAACCCCATCCAGCCCCTCGTACCCTCCCCAGCCAGCTCACGCTTGTTTGTCACAGCTCCTGGGACTCCCGTTGACACACAGGGAATAGCCACCCACAGTAGACTACGCTGTTCTGTTTGCACCCTTAAATTTATCGTGCTTACAGAATGCCACTTCTGCAAACTAGTTAAGTAGGGAGAGTTGGCTCGTGGATATGCTCGCTTGCTCATCCTTTTTGAAAAGGTAACCAGCTCTGAATTCTTTTTTTTTTTTTTGAGATGAGTTTCGCTCTTGTCGCCTAGGCTGGAGTGCAATGGTGCGATCTCAGTTCACTGCAACCTCCACCTCCCATGTTCAAGTGATTCTCCTGCCTCAGCCCCCCGAGTAGCTGGGATTACAGCCACGCACCACCACGCCCACCTAATACTGTATTTTCAGTAGAGATGAGGTTTCACCATGTTGGTCAGGCTGGTCTTGAACTCCTGACCTCAAGTGATCCACCCGCCTTGGCCTCCCAAAGTGCTGGGATTACAGGCATGAGCCACCGCGCCAAGCCCCAGCTCTAAACTCTTAAGAAACTCTCGAGAGGGTCTAGGTCAGTGCTGATAGAACCTCTGCAGTGCTGGGCCTGGTGGCTCACACCTGGAATGCTAGCACTTTGGGACGCCAAGGTCAGAGGATCTCTTGAACCCAGGAGTTTGAGACCAGTCTGCGTAACACAGACCCCATCTCTACAAAAAATTTAAAATTAGTTAGGCATGGTTGTGAGTGCTTATAGTCCAGGATACTTGGGAGGCTGAGGTGGGAGGATTGTTTGAGCCCAGTAGGTCGAGGCTGCATTCAGCTCTGATGGCACTACTGTACTCCCACCTGGGTGACCTTGTTTCAAAAAAAAAAA